TCCTGACAGAGTTTGCTAGACATGAGCAAGAACTGCACTTGCCTGGACTGCTTGATGTTATGCTGTATAAACTGGACATTCAGGACCCACAGAAAATGACTGCTGAAGTTGCCTAAAGGTGAGACAGTACTTCTTGAAAGAGTCTGTCAGACATACTGCAAGACATAGAAGAAAGTGACTAATAAAATTTCAATACAGGCAAAACTGTCATTGAAATTTCTTGCTTCATAGAAAATTCTGCTGGATACTATAGGCCAGCAAGATGAAGATGACTGCTCGCAATGTTAATGAAAAACATTGGGGGACTGTCCAGGCAATGAGATGTCTCTGTCAATTCTAGAGTTTTGGAAGTTGCTTACAATGCACTTTCTGTTTACTTAGGTAGTCTATGATGGTGTTGTAGATAGTCATATGTATAGTTTCCCTTAGTTATGATGAAAGATAAAGTAGATATAAATACTGAAGCTATAATTCTTGCTTGATAACTGTTTTGTTACATGCAAATTTACTATGTTAAAGTTAAAAACCTTCCTTTTTGTTTGAACAGAGAGGGAAATTTTGTGGGAAGTTCTTCTGTATATGTGTTGCTTTCATTGGTTAATGAAAAAAGAAGCATCTTTGGACTATGACAGGGCAGAATAGGATGGGCATGGGTGTTGTGGGAGCTGCGGGCCTGCTTTTCGTCCTGCCCGGCTCCCGCACGGCTAGCTTTACACCAAAAATAACAACACACAAACTGTATTCTTTTAAACACTTCCTGGCCCATTATATCTAGCCTTTTCTAGGCTAATTCTCACGTATTAATTTAGCCCATTTCTAATAATCTGCGTAGCACCACTAGGTGCGCTTACCGGGAAAGATTCAGCATGTCTGACCTGGCGGCTGGCTGCATTGCGCCTGGCTCTGTGAGGAGCTGCCCTGCATCTGAGCTCACTTCCTCTTCCTCCCAGCATTCTATTCTCTCTACTCCACCCACCTAAGGGATAGCCAATAAATGGGCCAAGGCAGTTTGTTTATTGACCAATGACCTTCCTCCATCATTTCCCCTTTTTCTGTTTAAACAAAAAAGGCTTTCACTTTAACATAGTAAAATCACACATAACAAAACCGTTATCAAGTAAGAATTACAGTTACAATATTTACATCTACTTTATCTTTTATCATAACTAAGGAAACCCATAACTACCTATATATTCTTTAACTTCATCAAAGACTACAGAAGGATATAGCAAACAAGAAGTCCAAAACTCTAGAAATGACAGAGACATCTCGTTGCCTGGACAGTCACCCAAAGTTCCTCTGTACTGTTGGGGCATCCATCTTCGGCCTACAGGCCTATAGTTTCCAGCAGACATTTTCATGAAGCAGGAAAATTCCAAAGACAGTTCAGTCACTTTCTGCTGTATCCTGCAGAATGTCTCACAGACTCTTTCACGAATCAGGAACCCATAAAGACCATCTCACCTTTAGGCAAGTTTAGCAGTCCTCTTTCTGTGGGTTCTTTGTGTCCAGTTTATGCATCAGTCCAGGCAAGAGCAGTTTCTTCCTCAAATGGCAATCAGACTCCATAAGGACCTTCTTCGATGCTCATCTTCCTCTTTAAGTAGATTGGTGCTGCCAGGAGCAGACATGTCTCATTGTCATAAAAAACCCTAAGTTATTAAAACATTAAATGTCATATTCTGTAGTCTCCAAAAGATATGAAGAATGCCTATCTAAAATATATCTATGTACATCTAGAAAATCTAACTAACATGACTACAAGCTTGATTATCATTAATGATTATCCATTAACAACCTAAATACATTACATTTTTAAGTGAACTACATAATCACAATACCTTAATCAAGATCAGAAATACATATACATATAACAAAATTGACCTTAAATTTCTATCAATAAAGCAAAATCTATACTAATGCAAATTATTCATACCTATATCAATCCCCCTTTAAATGTAAAAGTACATTTATAAATAATATTTGGTAATATGGGCACAGTTATTTCTCTCCAAACTGCTTCATGCTGAATGGGGCTGCTGTTATTTAGATCTTTTATGGTATAACCTGTGTGCCAGGTTCATCTCAGTCAATAGTTGAGCAAAGTAATTTTTTGAAGGTGTTCACAGCAACCTTTCAGGGGGGCATAGTCCATCATACCGAAGAAATCCATAGGGTCTCATCCTCTGTGAAAACAAAAGAAACTCCTTTCCAAAGCATCATGTCCTTAGATCCAAATTTTAAAGTCAAGGCATTTTCAAAATATCTATGTTGGATTAGTTCAGCAGCATTTATAAACAAATATCTTTTAGCAGTTGTTGCTCCTTCCGCACCATTCAAACAATTCAAAGAGAGCATAATAGCATACAGTATCAAGATTCTCTGTGTATTTTCCATATTTGTGCAGCTTTATTTAAACCTCTATATCATTTATTTTTACTGATAACTTTTTGCTTTTTGACACAGGTTCTCTGTATATCTTTGACCTGGAATAACTCTGTAGACCAGTCTGTCCTTGAACTGGATAGTCCCTCTCCAATTCCACGCCTGTTGGTAAGAGAAATACCCAGAGTTTCTGTCTCATGTCAAGAGACATGATATGGGACTGAAAGAAATATGAGTTTAGAAAACATCTTTGCTTTTCTTCATGTCTATCATACTTTTCATTGAATATATCTATCATGCCTTTCATTGAATATATATATATATATATATGATTAATGTTTAAGTTTTTCACAATGAACAATGAGTCTTTCTTGAAGTGACATTTGAAGTTTCCAGGAAGAAGATGGGGCCCCACAACAACTCCACCTGGTTGATATGACGTCATGATACTGATAGTACTACTACAAGACCTGTTTTGGGTACCAACTGCACAAGACAGTTCCAACGTGGTTAGCTGAAATGGTGCACATCTTGTATAACATTCTGGCCAGACCTCCACAAAATACTCAGAGACTATTTGCAATTTTAAAAGACATTGATCTTGAAATTTAACCATCATTTTACTTTCATAAAATCCCCCAGAAAGAACGTCACCCCCCATGACAGCTGGAAGTAATTCTAGAGGACGACGTCCCCTCTCCCAGTAAAGTTTGCCCTTGGGTTTTGGGACATCATTTAGGGGTTGATTATAATTAGTATATGGTTGAGGGTTGGGGGAGAAATTTTATAAGCTCAGGGATCATTTGAAAAACAAAAAAAAAAAAGAGGGATAATGGGATGATGGGATAATAGATTGGTACTTGTGAGTTATTGTTTGGAGACAAATATATTGGCATTGATTCTTTTATATTGATACAAAGTGAAATTATATTGACTATTGTATGCATGCATGTTTCTACCTCTGTTTAAAACTTTTATATATCGACATATATAGTATTGATATATATTGTATATATTTACCATATTGCAGTGTACATTTCTACCTCTGATTAAGATACTTATATATTGTTTGTGTATTGATATATATTTACCATACTGCAATGTATATTTGTACATTGTTTATATTTGGAGGTCATTGTCCTCATTTGTTTTACAGTCGTTTATTGTCTTAGTGTTTAAGTTAGATAGGTATTGAGAATTATATAGATCAATAGTATTCTGAGTTTGTCATTTATAATTAGACTAATCAGGTTCTTTAGATATATAGAGATTATACTCAGTATAGACAGATAATCTTCAACCTCTTCAAAGAGCTGTAGAAAATGGCCTTTAATCTAACTCAGAGTTTTGTGGTAGTGAGACACAATTGCTCCTGGCAACACTAATCTATTCCTGAGAGAATATTGAGCACCAAAGACACTCCACCTGGAGCCTTTCTTTTTGGCAGAACTGGCCTTTGGGCAAAGAAACACCCATACCTCAACCACTGACAGAGATACAGAGCGTGCATCAATGGATAAAACAGGACTGTCATATCCTCCCAAGACAGGGTAAGATAGTTTTGAAAAGTTGCGTAATGTGATGGCTTTGTGGGAGCCCAGCCAGTTTGGATGTTCACCTTCCTAGATATGGACGGAGGTGGGAGGTCCTAGGTCTTACCACAGGGCAGAAAACCCTGACTGCTCTTTGGACTGGAGAGGGAGGGGGAAAGGAGTGGGGGGAGGGGGAGAAGGGTGGGAGGAGGGGGCGTAGGGGGGGAGGAGGGGGAGGGAAATGGGAGGCTGGGAGGAGGTGGAAACTTGTTTTTTTCTCCTTTTCTCAATAAAAAAAAAAAAAAAAGAAAAGTTGCTTGCCTTTGAAAATGGTATTTCAGTTATGTTAGGCCTTAGCCAAAGTTGGTTGCTTCAACACTGCAAACCTGACTTTGGGTGATTGCCCAGGTAGCTAGTTGTCTCTGTGATTTGTTGCATGTTTTGGAAGTTGTTTTACTGAACTTCCTAATTACCCAGGTAACATTATTTCCCTTCTCAGATCTTCGATGGGTTTGAAGACTATATAAATGTAGTTACTTTTCTCTCAAGACTTGGCCAAGTTATTTATTATACAAGACCTAAGCTAGTTAGAATAGGATATTTGTACTTATTGTATATAATTTCGTAGTAGGTTTAGAACTCTCTTACTTAAACAAAAGGGGGAGGTGTTGAGGGAGGTCCTTCCGCTCCTCCAGCCAATAGTCGCTGAGATACCAGCCCATTGGAGCATGGTTTCTCTCTTTATAAAAGCGGCCACTTTCCTCCTCACTCTCTCTTACTTCCTGCTCCGCTTCTGGCGACTAGACTCCCTTCCTGATTGCGCAGAGGGTTGTTGTCTGGGAACGTGATCTGTAAGTTTTTTCCCTTTTAAATAAATATTTTATTAATCATAATTCCAAACTGGTGTTTGTGACTTACGCCTTCACCTTCACATGTATGTATATACACACAGAATATGAAGACAAAATGATAAAGAGAAACCATAAAAAATACTCGGAGAGCATTCTACTGAATACTAAAATTGTCCATGTTTAATTTTCCAAGTACTATATACCTTAATACAAAAGCGAGAAGGTAAAGGAATTCTTTAACATGATTCAAAGGACAAGTTGAACAGCCAATTGTTTTAACACTTTGAGGCATCAAGTCATTAGCATTATGTTGTTTAGGTACTACAGCCACTCTAGATCAAGTATCCCAAAGGCAACCACTCTGCGGATAACCACTTATTACAACAAAAAGGAAAAAAAGTACATTTAGATATCCTGAATATCTGTCAGGATAAAAATAGGTTCTAATTTTGGGCCTTCATAAGCAGTTGAGATGGAGTCCTCATGTTTCTGATGTGATTTAATAGATATAGAATTACATCAAAACAGGGTATGACTAGACTATTAAATTCTCAGTGAGTGAAATGAACACGATAATCCAGAGTATGTGTTCTCCAGTTTGTGCTGTGAACTACATACATCATAAATTACATCAAGACAGAGTATGAATAGAATATTAACAAGTTCTTAGTGTGTTTATATATGCTTATCCTCTGAGTATGTGTTCTCAAGTATGTGTTTATTCTTTTGTAGACCTTTTTGACATGCAATGTTTTGATCACAATGAATACATTCATAGGGTTTCTTACCAATACAGGTTCTTTAATGTATTGAAAGACTATTCTGAAATGAAAGGCTGTAACAAACAACATTCATAGACTCTGTCCCCAGTATGTGTTCTTTTATGTCTTTGAAGACCATTGAGATACACGAAGGATTAAACACAATGATTATATTCATACTGTTTTTCTCCACTATGAGTTTTTTTTATTAATTTGAAGACTACTGTGGAATGCAAAGGTTTTATCACACTGATTACAGTCATAGGGTTTCTCTCCAATATGCATTCTTTCATGTTTTTGGAGACTATTGTAAAATGCAAAGGCTTTACCACACTGATTACATTCATAGGGTTTCTCTCTAGGATGTGTTCTTTCATGTATTTGGAGACTATTATGACATACAAGAGCTTTATCACCCTCATAACATTTATAGAGTTTCTCTCCAGTATGTCTTCTTTTATGCCTCTGAAGACCACTGTGATATGCAAAGGCTTTATCACACTGATTACATTCATAAGGTTTCTCTCCTGTATGTGTTCGTTTATGCATTTGAAGACGACCATTATATGCAAAGGCTTTACCACAATGATTACATACATAGGGTTTCTCTCCTGTGTGGGTTCTTTCGTGTGTTCGGAGACTATTGCGAGATACAAAGGCTTTACCACACTGAGTACATTCATAGGGTTTTTCTCCAGTATGTGTTCTCTTATGAACGTGAAGATGACCCTGACTTGCAAAGGCTTTACCACACTGCATGCATTCATAGGGTTTCTCTCCAGTATGTGTTCTTTTATGTATTTGAAGATGACTGTGACGTGCAAAGGCTTTACCACACTGATTACATTCATAGGGTTTTTCTCCAGTGTGGGTTCTTTTATGCCTTTGAAGACCACTGTAACATGCAAATGCTTTACCACATTGAGTACATTCATAGGGTTTCTCTCCAGTATGTGTTCTTTTATGAATGTGAAGACGACCCTGACTTGCAAAACCTTTACCACACTGAGTACATTCATAGGGTTTCTCTCCAGTATGTGTTCTTTTATGTATTTGAAGATGACTGTGACGTGCAAAGGCTTTACGACAATGACTACATTCAAAGGGTTTCGCTCCAGTATGTGTTGTTTTATGCCTTTGAAGAACACTGTGACATGCAAATGCTTTACCACACCAAATACATTCATAAGGTTTCTCTCCAGTATGTGTTCTTTTATGTCTTTGAAGATCACTGTGATACACAAAGGCTTTACCACAGTGAGTACATTCAAAGGGTTTCTTTCCAGTATATGTTCTTTTTTGTTTATGACGTCTTTTGGGACATGAAAAGAGCTTCACACATTGAATACATTCATATGGTTTCTCGCTAGGATGTTTTCTTTTATGTCTTTGAAGATGACTGTCACATGCAACGGCTTTAATACTTTGAGGGTGTGTGGAAGTTTTTCCTCCAGTTTGATTTCTTTCATGCCTGTAAGGATAATGGCACATATATAAGTATTACCACATTAAATACACAGCTGAATCGTTATAACTGTATCAAATAATTTTTAAATTTGTTCCATTTTAAAAGAGGAATTAGATCTTAAGGTTTTATCACTGTGCTTATACTTATGCTGTTTCCATTTACTAAGAATATTTTGCAACTTTAAAGATACCTTTGATGGTAAGATCCTTTATTACATGAGTAGCATTTACAGAATCATTTTTCTATACAATTTTTTTCAAATATTTGAAGAAAACTGAAAAAGCTCGGACTTATTGGATTTAAAAATTTTCCTATACTGTGAGAGATACTATATTTTCCAATTATTATTACTAGTACTCATGGGGATTTTCCACAATGTGCATTTTTTGATGTATTATTGTTGAAACATGAAACCAAATTACTTGAATACTTGAATGATTTTTAACAAGCATACTCAACATGGGGACTGCTACATATCTTCTAATTATTCTTTTTTAAAAATATTTATTTATTTATTATGTATACAACATTCTGTCTGTGTGCATGTCTGCAGGCCAGAAGAGGGCACCAGACCTCTTTACAGATGGTTGTGAGCCACCATGTGGTTGCTGGGAATTGAACTCAGGACCTTTGGAGGAGCAGGCGATGCTCTTATCCATTGAGCCATCTCTCCAACCCTCTTGTAATAATTCTGAGAGAGAAGAATCTTAGGTCTTTCCATAGCTCTATGCTCATAAGGCTTGTACCCAGAGTAACATATGATATACCCAGTAAAAGAAAAATAACAAATAAAAGGATTTCAATTAAATTCACAGAGTTTGACCCACTGTCCTCTTAGACTTTTGGTATAGGGATTAAGGTTCGTCCACAACTACCTCTTCATTCTTTACTCTAATTGCACCCTCAAATAAACTTAGTTCAGTCACATCAAATATATGAGTCACAAAAGCTTCAGCATGGACGATTTGCATGTTAGAAAGTCTTGGAGACATACTTATCATCACTTCAATGTTTATAATTTTTGTAATATGATGATGAGGAAGAAATTGAGTGACAATTCTACAGTATTGCTCTCATGATGCTATGATTCGAATGGTGATAAGTGTTAAGACACTGTTTCCTTAGCTTCTTCCTTAAAAGCATACATTTGTATCAGCTTGCACATGAAAATTACCTTTCATATCTTCTAGACCATTGAGAAGGCTTTTCAATATTATGGTCTTCCCAACTGTATCCTAAAATATAATATCAGAAAATATATGTAACATTGAAAATGATGCAAAATTTTAGTTGCTATCTTCTCTGAACCTTAGAATCATTCACCCCATTGCTTTCCTTTCTTAATAAAATTAGAGAAGAACATTAATAACCAATCAATTGTTGTTCCCGTATTTTGAAACATAAAAGAAAATTCAGTCTTACCTATAATAGTGAGGTTTCTGTAGGTCTCCAGCATAACATCTTTGTAGAGATTCTTCTGGGAAGGATCCAGCAAAGTCCATTCTTCCCAAGTGAAATCAACATGCACATCATCATAGGTCACTGCATTCTTAAATTTCCAATGTATACATACAATAGAAAGCATGACAATGACAGTATAAATGTATACTTCTTTAATAGTATACTCACATAATTTTAGGGCTTCCCGCCCAATTATTCTATACCATATACTTAACAATTTAGTCACCAAGTAACTTTTGAAGGAAACTAAATAGACGGTTCAGCTCTATCATTTCTTTACCCCTTGAATGAGATATCACCTGCAATAGAAATGCCTATTAAAAAAACACAGAGAGAGACAAGTAAACAGATCAGCAGTACAAGGGACACATAGGGATAAAAATGTATGAACAATTAATTACTGCCTACAAAAAATGAAGAAAAATATGGGCTCCTGCCTCTAATTCCAGCACTCAGAAGGCAGAGGCTTCTGAATTGAATGCCAGACAAGTTTACCCAATCATGTCCAGGATAGTCAGAATTACATATCGAGAAACTGTTATCAATGCAAAAATTAGCCAAATCAAAACAAAACAAAACCCCAAAAATCATTTAAAAAAATCACAGAGGTGTTTAGTTTTTTTTATTAATTTATTTATTAAAGATTTCTGCCTCCTCCCCACCACAGCCTCCCATTTCCCTCTCCCTCCTCCAATCAAGTCCCCCTCCCTCATCAGTCCAAAGATCAGTGAGGGTTCTTTGCCCTGTGGGAAGTCCAAGGACCTCCCACCTCCTTCCAGGTCTAGTAAGGTGAGCATCCAAATGGCCTAGGCTCCCACAAAGCCAGTACGTGCAGTAGGATCAAAACCGAGTGCCATTGTTCTTGACTTCTCAGCAGTCCTCATTGTCCGCTATGTTCAGTGAGTCTGGTTTTATCCCATGCTTATTCAGACCCAGTCCGGGAAATGCAAATCAAGACAACTTTAAGATACCATCTTATACCTGTCAGAATGGCTAAAATCAAAAACACAGAGGTGTTTAGTTAAGTTCCTATAATGAGTTATGCATTAACTCCAGCTCTGTATTCATCTTCCAGAAACCTGAAGTATGCTAATTTAAACTGTTACATCAAAAAAAAAACTTTAGTAAAAGACACTGTATATTTAAAAACTTAAAATTCAGCGATGAAAATATTAGCAATAAATGCTATCACAAGTATTCAACACAGGGCAGGAAAGAAGGATCAAAATAAGGAGAACTCACTGGCTTGCATAGAGGTGGGCTCAACTGTCTGTACTAACAAGGGGGAATCACAACAACTCAGTATTCCATGGTCAGGGTTTCTGTGATCATGTTTTGAACACCGGGAGGAACAGGTACCCACATAGTGCATATATTATATCAGAATTTATTAATGTCGCCAGGCGGTGGTGGCGCACGCCTGTAATCCCAGCACTCGGGAGGCAGAGGCAGGCGGATCTCTGTGAGTTCGAGACCAGCCTGGTCTACAGAGCTAGTTCCAGGACAGGCTCCAAAACCACAGAGAAACCCTGTCTCGAAAAAACCAAAAAAAAAAAAAAAGAATTTATTAATGTCATAAATAAATTTGGGGAAATCAAATGATACCCTCCTCCAAATTTTTATATTCCAGATATGGGGGGAATCTTAGTATAAGAGCATATGTTTGACAGAGAGAAAACCATCAATCAATAATATAAAAAAAGCAAGGAATGCTGGCCCACCTTTAATCACAGGATCCAGAGTCAGAGGATCTCTTAGACTGAAGCCAGCCTGGTGTACAGGACTACTTTTAGGACAGCTAGGTTTACATGGACAAATATTGTCTTCAAAAACTTAAAAACAAGAAGATTCAAACAACAGGATACTAAACTGCCTTATCACTGAATAGCAATAATTTATAGTGAATCTTATGTAACTCTACTATAATGGTGGTGAAGGCATGACAGCAGAGGAAGTTTACTGTTTAGTATCAAACATAACACAGTAGACACAGAAGAGGAAATAGGTTGAGGAAATAGAGAATCATGTTACATACCCAATGAGGAATTTCATCCAGAAAGCCTCCACCTACTAATGATTTCATAAGTAATCAGCAGAAAGTCAAAAAGGAATGATACATGTTCAAATGCATCCTCCTATTTGGGGAGGTGTTCATTTTAATCAATTACAATATGATCTAGATCATTAAAGTCTCGTGGTCATTCATGAAAAATATGCTTTAGTCACTTCAATGATCCCCATATTCTGAAAAAGCCCCTACAATGTTTAAATGTCCAAAGTCTTTTGTGACACTGAAGACAATCTCTTGACAGTGATGTCTTGTAAAATCAGAAAATGTGTTACATCTTTCTAACATACAATGACACAGAATACCATTCATATTCCAAAACGGAAAAATGGAGACATACTGAGAGAAGATTGGACCAAGGCAAGACTGAAGTACAGCAGGAAAAAAAAAAATCAAATGCTGATGCTCTATCTTAGATGCATGCAACTTCAGTTTCAAAAGACTGAGATAGCCCTATCCCTGGAACTTCTCATACATCTCTCTCTTTGATTACCTCCACTCCCTATAGACTGCTTGCTCTCATGGAAGATGTCTCATTGCTTAGGTATCTCAACATCTTGTGGTCTCAAAATGCTACCCAGGCTATTGCAAAATATTATTAAGATGTGTTCTATTCCCTTATGATGTGGAATATTTTTCAATGATGCAAAGATTTGTTGCATTCTTTTATGTTAATTCTTTTAACTCTGTGAAGCTCTGACGCTTTGCCTGTCTTAAGTACCTGATTGTGCTAACAAGGAGATGAAAAGCCAGTACCTTATCGGGAAAAGAAATGAGGATCTGGAAGGCAGAGAGAATAGATGTGAGGAGAAATCTTGGAGGAAAATAGGAGCAACAAACAAACAAAAAAGGATAGGACACCAGGGGCCAGCCACCCAGGTACATGCTAGAGAATAAGAAGTAAAGAAAGGTATACAGAATAGAAAAAGATAAGAGCTAGAGGCAAAAAAAGGTTGATGGAATAATTTATGTTAAGAACAATGGCCAGAAACAAGTCAAGCTAATGCCTGAGATTTATAAGTTATAACAAAGCTCTGTGATTTTTTTTTTGGAAGTTGGGTGTCTCGTTTTCCAAAAGAGCAAAATCAACTGAATTCCTTTTGATGCCCAATATGGGGCTCAAAACTTATGGCTCCTTTAAGAGTTTCTTCCTTAAAGAAGTCTTTGAGCAGGGAGTACATAAAAATTCTAACAATAAAAAAAAAGTTTGTAGCAGCACAATAATCAGATTCCTAGTGATATGAAGGAAGAATGCAGGTCCTGAAACATACTTTCGACCTGGCTGCAAGTTATTGCTTGGATTTCATGAAAAGAGAAGCAGAAGGAGCCCACAAAATCACCAGTGGAGTTCAATGCTTTATAGCAGTTTAAAGGCGTATATTGTCAAAAAAGGTGAAATGATATTCAGTTAAAGAGGCTCAGACTGAAAAAAAACTTAAAAAATTTCCAGTGTATTTTACAATTTGTATCGGCTTAAGAAAGTGAAGAAAATACATATAGGCATTAATAGAAAGAAATAGCTTTGAATAAAATAGTAAAAAGACAGTAACAGTAATAGAATTTAAAAAGGCATGTAAAGATGAAAAATAAACAGGAAGTCAGGATTGTGTATAACATTATGTTGATTCTGAGGCAAGAGACAGCTGGTGGAGGACACGAGATGATAAACAGCACTGTAAAATTGAACCAATTTAGGTAATTTGGGCTATCGTTTTGTTACTATTGATTTTATTGAGGTTTACGATTTTTCTCCACTCTCTTCCCTTCTTCCTCTTTCTTCTTCTTCCCTTTTCTGTGACCTCCACACTCCTGATTTACTCAGAAGTTCTTGTCTTTTTCACCCTCCTATGTAGATTCATGTATGTCTTTCTTAGAATCTTCTGTTGTCTAGCTTCTCTGGGGTCTAGTTTTTTTTGTTTGTTTGTTTCTTTGTTTTTGTTTTTTTTTTTTTGCTTTATTACTAAAAGCCACTTATGAGTGCTTACATATTGTATTTGTCTTTCTGGGTCTGGGTTACCTCACTCAATATGTTTTTTTCTAGATCTGTAATTTGCCTGCAAATTTCAAGATGTCATTATTTTTTACCTATGTGTAGTACTCCATTGTGTAAATGTGCCACATTTTCTTTTATCTATTCTTCAGTTTAGGACCATTTAGGTATGTTGTTGGTGGCATTTACTTGGTTCCCAGCTGTTCAGCACCAAAATAAACACTCAGAAGACATCTTATTTGCAATACTGTTTGGCCAATAGCTTAGGTGTATTTTTATCTCACTCTTATCTCTTAAATTAACTCTACCATGAGCAAGGTTGGGTCTGTTGGTTAATATCTTTCTCCTCTGGCAGCTCCATGGCGTCTTTCTGATTCCACTGTATTTTCTCCCAGCATTTAGTTTAGTTTTCCCGCCTAGCTCTATTCTGTTAAGCCACTGGCAAAACCAGCTTCTGTATTCACTAACCAACAAAAGCAACACATTTACAAAAGGACTTCCCACACCATAGGTTGTTTTCAGGTTCTGGTTATTACAAATAATGCTGCTATGAACATAGTTGAGCACATGTGCTTGTGGTATAATTGAATGACATTTGGGTATATACCCAACATGGGTATTACTGGGTCCTGTGGTAGACTGCTTCCTAATTTTCTGAGAAATCACCATACTGATTTCCAAAGCAGTTGTACAAGTTTACAAGGCCACCAGCGGAAGAGTGTTGCCCTTACCCCACATCTACTCCAACATAAGCTGTCATCAGTGTTTTTGTTCTTGGCCATTCTGACAGGTGTAAGATTGAATCTCACAGCTGTTTTGATTTGTATTTCTATGATAACTAAGCATGCTGAAAATTTACTTATGTGTTACTCAGCCCTTTGAGATTCACCTGCTGAAAGTTTTCTGTTTAGGTGTGTACCCCATCTTTGTGAGATTATTTGCTCTTTTATTGTCAAGTTATCTTAACTTTAGAAGTCAAACATATCTGTTAAATGAAAATAAAAATATCTTTTAAAAAGAGATTTTGATTTTGTTTCCACAGCAGACAAATGCTGTGGATTTCTTAAGGAATGACATTGATCAGGTATGATCAGGGAAGACCTCCTAAATCTTGACAAATGATGACAATCAGCAAAGATTATAGCTGTTCTTCCCAGGACTTAAACATTATCTCAAATTTTCTCAGGGAACCTACAGATGTCTTCACCCATATTCAGCAGGAAGTAATCTAGAGAACATGACACCCACATTTCCAGCAGATGAAATATGGTAGGCTTTTGATTATTTGGTAGACTATAGATGCTTGTTATCATTTAGGGGAATATAGTATTTTGATAAATATTTAAGTTATTTTTGTTACAGTGCATATATATGTACATATACATATTTCTATTCTTTAAGGTATTGTATTTATGCAACTCATTTAAAAGTGTAAGATAAAGTTCTAGTTTTTGAAAGCTATTATTATAAACTATTTAGGATAATCAGGAAGCTCAGGTTAGTAGATAGCCACTTATAACAATCAAATATGTTGATGTTAGGTATTTTTTCAAGGTCCTACAGAGATATATCCAGATAGACAAATGGTTTTCAAACACTTAAAAGATGTACAGAATATGGCACTTACTTGCTTAAGAAATGATGGGTATTGAAGAAACTCCATTGGTGTTGCTTTCATTCTGGTAAGGCTAATCACTGGGTGAAAAAAAACTGCTACTACCTTTGGTTGATCAACAGTGTACTGTGCAGATTTTACATGCAGCAGCAACAGGAAAGTGATTGATGAACATTTTCAAAACAAGCAAGCCAGAAGAGTGCTTTGGGGTTCCTGTTTCACAGAAGAGTCTGCCAGACATTCTGCAGGACACAAAGGAAAGTGACTGATGAGCTTTGCCAATACAGGGCAGAATAGTCCTTCAAATTTTCTACTTTATAGAAAAGCCTTCCTGTATGCTGTAAATAGATGGCTCAATGTTGCAAAATAAATAAATAAATAAATAAATAAATAAAAAAAATTGGAAGACTGTCCAGGCAGCTCAGTGTCTCTGTTGTTAGGGAATATTAATTCCATATCAGGTCTTGGATGGAATTAAAGACTAAATAATTAGAGTTTCAGTTTCTCAACCCTATGCTAGAAAGTAAGTTAAGTATCAAAGTTTGGAGTCACTAATATGGCATGGATAATGGAGTATTTTCTCTGTAATTTGTAAATATAAATGGACTGAATATTGTAAATGCAATTCTTACTTGGTAACTGCTTTTATCATACATAGTTTTAGTAAGTTAAAGTTAAAATAATTCATTTTGATTTAGACAAAAGGGGAGAAAGTCTGTGGAATATTATTGTATGATACATTTTATTTTTTTATGCTGTGGAACATGTGTTTCAATGATACAAAGATGTATCAGATTTGTTTAACTCTGTAAAGCTGTGATACTTTGCCTGTCTAAAATACCTAATTGGCTTAATAAAAAGCAGAACAACAAATATCTTGGCAGGAAGGATAAGAGGGTCTGGAAGGCAAAGAGAAGGAAAAAAGGAACAAGGAGCGAAAAAAAGAGAGGGTACCAGGAGTCAGCTACCTAATGACACAACAAGCCACAGAGTAAGAAGTAAAGAAAGACATTCAGAGTAGAGAAAGATAAAATTCCAGAAGCAAAATGTAGATGGGATAATTTAAGAAAAACTGGCTAGAAACAAGCCAAGATAAGGCCAGGAATTTATAAGAAAAAATAAATCTTCATGTGTGTCATTTATTTGGAAGCTTTATGGTATGCCCCCACAAGCATAAAGAAAGAGAGAGAGAGAGAGAGAGAGAGAGAGAGAGAGAGAGAGAAAATCAACACCAGGCTTCAGCCTTACAGTTCCATGGAATGAACTCTCAGTCTTCTCCCTGGGATTCTGATTATGCCAAACATAGATGCCAGCAACACTGCTGAGCTGTAATCACAGCCTAAGAACTCATTACATTAATTTTTACCATTTCTTGTTTGCAAGACCAGCACATGATAGGTAATACTGCAAAGTTAGACTTCTTTTTCTTTTGTTGTTGTTGTATTGTTTTTCTTTTTTTTTTAAATATTTATTTATTTATTATGTGTACAGCATTCCTTCCATGTGTGCCCCGCATGCCAGAAGGGAGCGCCAGGTCTCATTATAGATGGCTATGAGCCACCATGTGGTTGCTGGGAATCGAACTCAGGACCTCTGGAAGATCAGTTAGTGCTCTTAACCACTGAGCCATCTCTCCAGCCCTGTTGTATTGTTTTTCAAGTGAAGGTTTCTCAGTAGCTTTGGAGCCTTTCCTGGAAACTAGGTCTTATAATCCAGGCTGTCCTGCAACTCACAGAAATCCATAAGTTTGGCTTATTAACCCACATACCTAACATGCTTGGATCACAGGTCCAACAGAATTTTAGGAAGCTGCTTCCTGGGAATAAAAAACACTTTCCTAACTTGTTGCAAGGAGGAGCCGCTTGTTCATCCCACCTATGCAGAATTGAAATAATCACGCAAAAACTGTACTATTTAAGTCACTGCTTGGCCCATTACCTCTATCTTCTTACTGGCTAAATTTTATTTATTTAACCCATTTCTATTAATCTGCATATCACCATGGGGTCATGGCCTACCAGCAAAGTTTCAGCACGTCTATCTCTGGCAGCATCAGAAGCATGGTGTCTCTCTGACTCTGCCCTTCTTTCTCCCAGCATTCAGTCCAGTCCTCCCCATCTTCCTAAGTTCTTCCCTATCAACAGGCTAAGGCAGTTTCTTTATTCATTAATAGTATTTACAGCACACCGAGGGTACTCCCACATCATTTACGCCTTCCATAAATTGAAGATTTATGTGGATGGAGTCCTACCCTTAGGGCACCTTGAGAAGTTTCCATTCCACAAGAAGAACCTTTTCTATAGTGGTGATAAACTCCTTGAAAATTGCCACCTGTTTCAGCAATTTACTGAATGATATGAAACTACCTTTTCATTTTCATTTATTTCTGCCTCACTTGTTACTTTCTTTTTATTGTCGACCTGAATGAGTCATCGGTAATAACCATTTAGCAGATTCATTATTCTATTTAAGGAATTAGCCTATTATTTTTAATTCTCCTGTATTAAATTTCCAGGGCATAGGCAGAATAAGAAAGATTTTGGGCTCAATATATCACACAAATGACCTCGAGTATAATTTTTTATGGTGTCTATTTTGGATGGAAATCCTATGATCTCAATCTGCACTTTTTGCTATTACTCTTAATATTTCCATCTTCCTAGTCCTACAGAAACAGTCTTTTAAATTTATGTACAACTTTCTATGGTTTTTTGCCACCTAAAGTCATGATATCTTTGACATTCTCACAAAAAAAAAAATCCTTCCAGGTTCTGCATAGAAAAACAAATCCCTTTTGGTGTTTCACTTTTGGTATAACTTGTGTTTTTGCTGTACTGATTAAATCTGATAACCAGAAGCAGCCCACGCAATGAATAGGTCTATTTGACTGATTGTATCAAATACTCCATCATTTTGGGAACTTAAGAAAGAAACATAAGATAAGAATTAAAGGCAAAACCCATGGGCAATGATTGTTTCCTGGCTCTATCTCTTGCCTAGTCACTGTCTCATGTGAAGATATTTTCCATTTGTAGTTCAGGCTCACTTTTTAGGGATAATACCACCCTCAATGGAGGAACCTTCCCACATGGATCATCAATCAACAAAAGCTCTCAGAGATAAAACAGTTTCTGGCTATTATGAATAAAGTCACTGTGAACATATTTGAGAAAGTGTCCTTCTGGAAGTATTGTTTGGATACATATCCAAGAGTGGTATTAGTGGGTTTGGAGATAGACTGACTCAATTTCCTGAAGACTGAATATTGATTTCCATGGTGGCTGTACACGTGTAGACTTGCAAAAGCAATGAATCCCCTCGCTCATCTTCTTGACAGCATTAGTTTTCATTGGTGTTATGTACTTAATCATTTGGACATGATTAAGATGAAATCTCACAGTAGTTTTGATATGTATTTCCATGATGGCTTATGATGGTGAACATTTTTTCTATTGTTCCTCATTCACTTTAGATACATCTACTGAGAATTCTATCTAGAAGTGTACACATTTATACTTGGATTATATGGTTTTTCATTGTCTCATTCCTTAAGTTCTTTATTTTCTTGAGCGAGGAAACCCAGAAGCACATAGACAAACATGTTATATACTTATAAGTGTAAGTTAGCATTTAAGCAAAGTACAATCATAGTAATCACAGTTAATCTGAGTAGAAGGTATAGATACACAGAGGCTTAGCAATGAGAACAGCTCTAGGGGAAATGAAGGGAACTCCCTGGGAAGAGAAACTATAATAGATTTTGTGATGCACTGAGAGTCAGTGGGAATGGGAACAGGAAGAGTCAGGTGAGTGGAGAAACAGAGAGGGGGAGAAGACAGAGAGATGACGGGTACAGAAGAGCTTTTAGCAGGGGATGAAGAATTAGTGCAGTGAAAATGTCTTAGAACCTATAACCCTAGTTAAGGTTGGTAGTGGTCAAGATTACAGAGGCTAAACCAGCCATCTTCTGTAACCCTATAAATTTCCCAGTGGGACTGGGTCACTAAGCCAGCCATAAAACATGTGACACACATATCTAGACTGCAATATATACAGGGTAAATGGTGGCTCGGAACTGCTATAGTAGCCAACCAATAACTGGTCCAATTTGAAGCCCAAACTTGAGAATAAGTGCACACCTGACACTGCCTAAATTGCTAGGAACAAGAATTTGAATGACTCAGAGAACTATAGTAGAAACAAATAAAGCTAAAGAAGAAAAAAAAAATCAATGAATGATTCCACCTATTTTTTGCTATAATCATAGATTGACACTTAATCCAATATTTGTCAGAGAGGCTTCTTTCAGCAGCTCATGGAAGAACATGCACAGATCACTACCCAAACATTAGCTTGAGCTATAGAAATGCTTTTGAAGGAGGGGTTTAGAATTGTAGGATTCAGAGGGGTTGAGGAAAAACTTGGCCCACAAAATCAACTAAGCAGGGCTCAAAGGGGTCAGAGAAACTTAAGTGGTAATCATCAGCCTTCAAGTCTCTGTGCCAGGTCCTTTGTACACATGCTTTTTTTTTTTTTTTTTTAAAAGCTTAAGGTGTTTATGGTTGTCCTAATTGTCTGTGACTCTACTACCTGTTCTTGGTACCTTTTTCCTCCTATTGCATTGTCTTGTACAGCCTTGATATAAGAGCTTGTGCTGGTCTTATTGTACCTTGATATGATGTGTTTGGCTGATATCCCTGGAAATCCTGCTCTTTTCTGAAGGAAAACAGTAGCAGTGGATCTGGGGGAATGTAGATTTGTTGTGGGTGAACAGGAAGCAGGGCAAGAAGGGTACACTGCAGCCAGGATGTACTGTATATGAGAGAAGAATAAATACAAAAAATAAAGAAAAAATGAAAATGCATTTTGTCTAAGTTCAATGATTCTCATAATCTACAACAACCCAAACAAATGTCCAATGTCCCTTCTGACACTCAAGACAATCTTTTGACTTTCACATCTTGTAAAATCAAGAAACAAATGAGTGATTTTCAACATATAATTGCACAGTATATATTCCCATTCTGAAAAAGGGGATTCTATTCTCTTTGGATGTATACCTTCCTCAGCCTAGATATAGTAGGAAGGGCCTTGGACGTTAAACAAAGCATTGTGTCTTACCCTCTCTGAAGATTGGATGGGGGTGTGGTGGGAAGGTATATGGAAGGAATAGGAGGATGGAGGGAGTGGGAACTTGGACTGGTATTTTTTGAAAATCTAATAAAAAATGCATGAAAATGTTTAAAGTTCATGTAATTATATGGAAAAACATTTCATAAGTATTAATTGAGACTACGAGTCTGAAATAAATGTCAAAAATATGTATACTCCTGTAAAATACTAATAAAAGCATACATACTATGTGAAACTAAATGGAAACTGAAGGAATTCTGGAAATGAAAATCTAGGTTAACATATAGAACCTAAAGTGGCAAGCTTCAACAAAATAATATAAGACATGAAACAGAATTTCAGGCTTTGAAGGTATGATAGGAGAAATAGATTTATTGATCATGGAAAATACTAAATCAAGAAATTTCCTGAATCTTAACATCGAAGACATCTGGAACACTATGAAATGTCAAAACATAAGAAAAATAAAGATTAAAGAAGAATCTCAGTGTAACATGAGGGGCCTGGCTTATTGGGGTTTCTGTCCTGCCCAATACTCCACAGCTGGCATGTCCCAAAGAAAATTACACAGAGAGTCTACATTACTTATAAACTAATTGGCCCATTAGCTAGGTCTTCTTATTAACTCTTATAGTTTATATTAACCCATTATTCTTATCTATGCTAGCCACACAGCTCCGTACCTTCCTCAGCCAGGCAGGTCACATGTTGCCTCTTTGGTGGTCTGGGCTGGACTCAGAGGAATGGGCTTCCTTCTTCCTAGCATTTTCCTGTTCTCATGGCCCCATCTCTACTTCCTGTCTGGTTGACCCGCCTATACTTCCTGCCTGGCCAATCAGAGTTTATTGAAAACATGATTGACAGAATACAGACAATTCTCCCGCACCATTGGAGGTTAAGTAAAGCTGCATAGAGATGGAAAATACACAGAGAATCTTGATACTGTATGTTATTATGCTCTCTTTGAATTGTCTGAATGCTGAGGAAGGAGCAACAGCTGCTAAAAGATATTTGCTTATAAATGCTGCTGAATTAATTCAAGATAGGTATTTTGAAAATATCTTGGCTTCAAAATTGAAGTCAAAAGGTATGTTACTTTGGAGAAGAGGATTTGCTTTTTGCTTTTGTTTCCACAGGAAAAGAGAGGCTGTGGATTCATTCTGAGTTAAGAAAAATCAGGTTCAATCAAGGAAGACCACCTGAAAAATCTTTGGTAGGAACAGATGGCCCAGATGTCTAAGTTCTACATCCAGAACAGATTCAAGACTGCTGCCTGAGATGATCAAGACTCACAGGATATTCCAGTCAGGACTTAATGATAATTCTATATTTTCTTTAGGTCCCCAAAAGATTATCAGCGCCCCCAGCCAGCAGGAAGTAGCCTGGAATACTATGCCCACATTCCCAAAAAATGGACTATGGGTATTTTCCTTTGTTTAAAAAAAGGGGGGGGGGGGAGTGGTGCGGGAGAATTGTCTGTATTTCACCTATTATCTTTCATCTTTCTCTATTATAAATATTATAAATATTTTACTTCTTATTTTATAGCTGGCTGTGCAGCTGTGTCCTGGATGCCCTCCTATCCTCTTCTTCCTCCTCAATTCTTCTCTCTTTCACCTTCTATTTATTCTCTCTGCATGGAAGCCTTACATATCCCTCTTCTGCTTAGCAATTGGCCGTCCAGATCTTTATTAGACAAATCAGGTGTTTTAGGCAGGCAAAGTAACACAGCTTCATAGAATTAAATAAATGCAACATAAAAGAATGCAACATATTCTTGCATCATTAAACAAATATTCCGCAGTACAACTGAATGTAACACTTCAAACAATATTTCACAAGATTTCCCCCTTTGTCTAAATAAAAATGAATGGGTATAACTTTTAACTTTCTTTGCAGCTGTCATTTCCTTTTCATTAGCATTTGAAATATTTCAAGTAAATAAGCTGCAGTGTAATCAATCTCTGGGTATTTTAACTACCCCTTGATGTTTATTAAGCATGTCTTCTAGGGTGCCAGATAAAGTGTTAACTAATGAATCTTCTTCAATGAAATACAGGGATTCTGATATCAGGGGAAAGAACCTGAAAGATGAAGAGAAGCAATGGAACAGTCACCGTGGCTCAAACCTCTTCCATCCTCCATCCACAAAAGGTCAACATCCTAAAACAGCCCCACCTTGCTACTTTATGTCTCTTATCTTTCCGCAGTACTGTAAACTCTATGGAATTTTTTTTGTCAGCTAATAGTTATTTCCTTTCTCTGACTCCAAGCAAGCTTTATAATCAAAATATCACACAACATCCTGTAACTTCTCATATAGTTTACTCTTTTGCAAGTTCTACTCCACATATGCTGCTCTCCATGGCAGATGTCTCATTGCTTGGGTATCTCAATATCCTGTGGTCTCAAATGCACAAAAGCTTCATGCAATAAACTCTCACAATCTCTTCCCTGGGGCTCTGACTCTGCCAAACATACACGGGTAAAATAGTGATCACAGAAGAAGAATCCATGACCTTTACATTTTATAGCTTTCCTGTTTCTAGAATCAGTACAACATATGTTATCCTGCCAAAACATAATGGGCACTACCAAGCCTAAACCAAATTTGGTGCTCTGTATGATGTTGCTGCTGGGATAAGAAATTACTTTGTGCACTCCTTCCATAAAATAAGGACTAAGCTGGATGGGACATCTTCTTAGGCTTCAAATGTAGATCATGGGTCCTCCCTTTAATGGAGCTAAAATCCTTGACAATCCCTGAATCTTTTTAGCATTGTACTGCCATCTGAAACTACTTAATGATGTTTTTCTCAAAAAAAAAATGAAGACTTTTCTGATGTGGGGTATTTTGTATTCTGTGAATATGTATTGCTTTGTATGGTTAATGAATAAAATTCTTTTGGTATATGGCAGTGCTGAATATAGCTAGGTAGAAAAAAAAAATCTACCAGAGATACAGAGAGAAAGATTGCAGAGTAATGGAGAACCAAGAGCTACCAGAGAAGCTTATTTTCTTATGTAAGAAAATAAGCCAGGAACCAGGGCAAAGCTAGCCAGTAATAGTCTGAACCATTGGCCAAATATTTATAATTAATATAAGCCTCTGAGTGGTTACTCAAAAATTGGCAGGTGGGAGAGAAAATTTCAACTACACTTTTCATTTCTTTCTCCTTGTTTCCTTTTCCCTGTTGATGCAAATGTGTCGTCAGTAATAACCATCCAACAGAAGAAATATTTGGTCTAAGAAATAAGACTGTTACTTTTTTAATAGTGCCTTACTCACTTTCTTGGGTCATGGAGAGAAAATGAAGGATTTGGGGCCAAAATATCATACAAATGACCTTTTGCTAAATTTTTCATGAAGTCTGCATAGCATCTGTGCTCACTTACCAATCAACTGATGGGGCCCAGAGGAATAATCTCAGGCTTGAGCTGGAGTCCCCACAGCAAGAGGATGCTATGACTGTTTTATGGAGAGCAATCAGATTTTTTATTGTCTTTATCAGAAACAGAAGATAATGTTAATTTCCTGGATAAATACAGTTTAGTTGCCATGATAAAATGAAGTCTGCAAGTCATACAGGGTACACAAAATTAATGTCTAAGAACAACTGTCTTATTAAATTTCTATGATTCCGTGACCACTAAGTGAAACACAAATTAGCCTTAGTGCTTCAATACCTGAGGGAATGTATCAATGTTTCAGGAACTGGAAAGCACATTCTGTCCAAGGAGCCATGGATATTCATGTAAAATTTTTTTGACACACATCTCTCAGGGTAGATAGGCCAGGTCAACTCTGTGGTTCCCTATAGAGCCTATTGTACACTATAACCCTTTGACCTTGACCACCACCGTCTATCATTACTCTCAACAATCCCATCTTCCAGGTTACCACATTTTCTGATCTAGGCACACTCTCAGTTGATGTTTCCTCAGACAAATCTAGGCTATGTCATATTGAAAGCTGAGGTTAATTAAGAAAAAGTGATAATAATATATTAGAAGGCTTTAAAGGTCCAAAGATAATCTACTAATCATATCAATCACTTTAACAACAAAAACACAAACATGAAGATAGCAGCAACAGTAAGCACAGATAGGACAGGTAATGGGAAGAGGCAAGTATTGAAGACCAAAAATAGAAACCTATTTCTACACAGAAACTTCCCAAACCAACAAATATTCAAGGAACTAATAAGAAAACTGCTGAATAAAAAATTGGTGAAAGACGATAATATTCCAGAAAATGAGCAATATAATTAGATAATTATTAATAAAATCAACAACAGAGATGGCGTCACTAATAAAATAAAATACTAGGACAGACCTACAAATATATTTTAAGGTCCCTTAAATAAGAACTACAAGATTCTAATCAAAATCAAACTCCAAGGAATTACATAACAGCCCTCATCCTACACACTCCAATTCTCTATTTAACCAATTTAAGTAAATGTGTTGGGTGAGCAGGGCTGTTACACCAAAACAGGAGATTCACTTGAAGCTTTCTCAAGTTTTAACTTTGTAGAAAATAGTTGTGGCTACCAAAACAATCTTATGCTCTTATGACAAAGAAAAGGATGTCTGTTAGGATCACTTTGACACTACTTTGTTTCCTATGATGAATGACAGCCCTGTAAGTCTGCATCAAACTGAGAAAATGAACACTG